AAATCATACATTGTATTTTTCTGGATGTTTGTTTTAGCTTCCATCACTCACAGTTGAAGAGTACCTATGATAAAAATTACAGTCTTCTACAAGCTTTGCAAGTGGGAAAACCTGAAAAATCAACAGTGTATCAAATACTTGTTCTCCCCACTGTACATTAAAAATACATTTACTTACAGTAAATATGCCCCTGGGTGCATTTTTTTTGGTCCTAGGACTGTTTTTTTAAAAAGTACATACCCAAAGTTGAGTAAAAAAACTTTAAAAAGTGAATTTTGCATAATAGGCCCCCTTTAAATAGAAGTCATTAATTTTATTAATTTGATCTGGTTTGTGTGAAATAATTTACACGTTAGGATGATCAGTTTTTGCTGATACTTGAAAATGAAAATAAACTGTCAAATGATTTTTTTTTTTAATTTTAGGCTCTAGATTTTGCAATTTATTCTTCAAATTTTGACTTGTGTCTCTTTTTTTCCTCAGGTCCAGAAACAAAGTGTGCTGTCTCACACAGCCCAGGACTCACAGGCCCTGTGGGAGGAAGAGCTGAAGAGCCGCTCAAAACTAGGACTGCGCTTAGCGGAGCTCGAAAAAGAAAAAGGAGAACTGACTGCCCAGGTTATCACTCTGTTTAACTTAAGAACTGAATTATGTTACAATCGATTTAAATAACAATTAATTCTTAAAAAAATCTTTGATTTGATTCTCAACGCCTGGTTTGTTTGTGTTGCAGATGGAAATAGAGAAGAAGAAAGCCAAGAAACTCACAGAGCAGAAAAAAGCTGTTGACGCTCGTCTCGATCAAGAGATGAATAGAAACACAGAGCTTCAAAAGGAAATGTACAGGTGACTCCTAAACGCTTCTTTGTGGCCTGTGGACTGTACCCCCCACTGTTTAGACCCACTTAGGATCCTATAGACCCCATCTGAGAAAGCTTATGTGGTGCACCTGTATCTATTTCCTTTGTAAGGATGTTATTTTAGAATCTACTGTATGTGTTTTGTTCTGTCTTTATTGTGTCTTATTGTCTTTTTCTTATTAAAGAAAATCTCTTTCTATAAATCAGAAAAAAGATAATGTACTTGCGTATCTTATTGCATTAAATAAAATTGTGTTGGTAATAATAAATTCAGTTTGTCTACTTTTAATTTTTAGTTGTTTGGATCTGGTTTGAGTCTGACATCTGCTTGGTTTCTGTGTGGTTCAGGCTGCGCACTTTACTGAAGACTGCAAAGAAGAAAGTTCAGGATCAAAAAGCTGGTGGAGCAGAGTTTGCCTCCCCAATGAGCAGTCTTCAGATGGACATGGGCCGACAGCGACATTTGCAGGTGGTTGCTTTAGTTTCTTACATGTAACTTCATACACTGGCCTGGTTGTTGAATAATAACCATGTAACTTTCTCTCTCTCTCTCAGGTGGATGATCTGCAAGAGCAGCTGGAGAAAGAAACATATCGCCGCAGTCAGCTAGAAAAAACAATTGAGGAGCTTAAGGTTCAGATAGCCTCCCTGAAGAGCTTCAGCTATAGTAGTGACCATGTGGAGAGGAAGAGGCAGTTAGAGGAGGAGGTCCTGGACCTGAGACGTCGTCTGGAGACTGCTCAGGTAGAACAAAGTCAGATGGAACAGTACCGCCGTGAAGCAGAGGAGAAAGCCCGACAAGAAATCCAACTAAAGTTGGAGCAGGTCAACCTCTTCCTTCAGGTACAAACCAGGTGCTCGTCTGTAGCACATGACACAGAATAAACTTAGATTAACATATTTGATCATTTTTATGTACAACATGGCAGTATCTCTGTGTCTAATTTAGGACAATTGTGTTTTGTTTTGTTTTTATTCTCAGTCCCAGGCAGCATCACAAGAAGCACTAGATCAAATTAAAGCTGCCAATGAGGCGAGCTTGCGTTCTCAGCTGGAGCAGAGGATCCGGGAGCTGGAGGGAGAGCTGAGCCGAGCCCGCTCCACCCAGCAGGATAGTGTCAACCAAAAAGACGCCACACGCACAGAGCTAGAGCGGTACCGGCAACTCTACTCCGAAGAGACGCGCCTCCGGAAGTCCCTGACTGCTAAACTGGAGAGGTTAGAATGATATTACAGTCAGCTCACTACACCTGTTGCACTTCACAGACCTGAAACTAGTAAGTCCAACAAAAGGCAGCCAGACTGAGGATCCTTTTGAATTCAAACTAAAGACTGTGATGTTCTAATCCTCAGACAGATTCATACTTTAACCAGATTAACAATGTGAGAGGCTCTGCTCCGCTGAGAAGCACAGAGGTGCTCTGAGAATGTGCAGGAAATGCTAGTTTGTGCAATAATAGTTAATAATAGTTTATTTTGCTGTTGGTGCAGTTCAGTCTTTGTAGATTGACTCTGGATGGCCCTGTGCACACTACTGCCCTGCGGATGCAGTGTAAATGTACTTATTGATTATAAAGGGGACATTCTTACTGCGGAGGTCGGAGCAGATACAATGTAAATAGGGCTTAATAACCTTCAAAAGAAACTTTGCAAGACTATATGCCATGGACGTCCGTTCTAGCACTTCCATATTTTTTGGCCACAAACACAAACAGCACTTCCGGTTCGCAGGCAACACTGTGTTAGCGCAGGCTTTTTACACTCAGTGGCAGCTGTCCACAGGACAAGATTTGCATATTACATGTACCAACATTAACACAGGAGATGCACAAGTTGACAAAAGGCCACGCAAGCGGAAAAAGTTACTCTTAAGCAGATTAAACCCATAAAAAATCAAAAGTAAGACGTCCAGAATTAAGCCTTTTTCACTATTCCTTGGCTGCTTGTTCTGTGAATTTTTCATATAGAGCTGTGACACTTATATTGTTGGAAAGAGCAGAGTCTGGTCTTTAAATTGATGACTACTTGTTTGGTTTGGATCGTGTTCCCTGATGTTGGTGCACTGAAACATGGAATGATTTTAAGGCAGAGGTTCTGCTGCTCTTGCTACAGGAGGGGAGGGGTGCTTGGATTTTGTCTACACTGTAATATACAATAACAAGTTTTGGCTTTTGCATAAAACTCATGAAAAAGTTGCCTATAATAATTTCATACTCTGTATAACACAAACACACCTACATTGTGAAGAATCTAATGTTCTTGTCGGAAGCAGCAAAACGGTGAATGCCAAACAGCTGCCTTAGCGTCAGACTCTAAACTGTTCCCGTAGCTGGTGGATTTCCTCCTGGATTATAACATTTACCTCCAGCACTAAATGCACAACTGCAGAGTCTGGAGAAGCAGCATACTTATGATCTAAACATCTAGTCTATACTGGCTGTTGTGTTAGCTTCCTCCTCGCTGTCCTCTGGAAGTGGTCTTTGCTCTCTCGGGTCTTGGCAGTGAAGGAGTTAATTGTACAGCTCCCTTCTTTAATCTCCATCTTCCCATTTCTGACGCTGGCTCTTAAATATCCTCAGGTTTGAAATACTTACTACAAACACGAGTGTGAGCTTTTATAGCTAAATTGTCCCTGCGTATAGCCACGATCCACTGTTGTTGCCTTAACTCCTCATCAAGAGGAATCTGGAGAAAAACTAACAACTCTCTTGTACCTACTGGTTAGTGGACACAACGACACACAACAGAACTCAAGTTTTGTACCAGTAGCTCACAGATGCTTTATCTTTTGCGACTTTTTCATGGTCTAGTTCTAGGAGCTAATGCTAAAAACAATTCACAGTAGGCAGGACCCAGAAGTGATGCTCGTGGCCTGAATTTTAACAGAAATTCGTCACTAATAGCTGTGGCATACAGGCCACTGGGAGAAAATATGCAAAGCAGCCCTAACACTTCAGAGACAGGTTTGACACTAGACTCTCATGGCAGTTCAGGTTGGGATTATCCGTAGCAGCTCTGTGTCTGTTTTGAAGTAAAATTTGTGATACAAATTTTGTTAACATGTTCACAACTCAAGCAAGACTGCACTCTACTGTGTCCCACACAAGGACATGGAGAACTCCCCGAATGTCACAAAACATTCTGGAGACCCCAACATGAATGTGAACTCGTTCCAGCCCAGTGAGATGCCACCGTAAACATTGTGTTTGAATCTTTTTAATGCATTGTTTGTGTACACATTGAAATCACTGAAGTCTTGTGAAGATGAAAGCAGATGAAGGTTTTGCCTTTCTATCCACAGGGCAAACATTCGTCTCTCAGAAGCCAATTCCAAGTTGCTCAGTGAGCGCAGCAGGTCTTTTATCACGAGCAACATCACAAATGGGAGCCTTGTCGGGCCTTCCCTGGACCTGAGCTCTCTGGGTTCTCCAGCAAACTATGGGGCCACACTTGGGTCCCAGAACAGAAGCTTTGGTCTGGGATTTCCCCTTCTGAGTCCAACGACTGAGGGACAGAACAGCAGAGTGGAGGATTATCTGGCCAAGGTTTGCAGTGTCTCTAAATAAACCCTCATTAAGTTGTTTTGACTTCATTATTTCATAGAAATAGTCCTTAGTGTCCTTATTGTTTGTGTTAATAGTGTGTAACTAGTGACATTTTTTAAACCAGTGATATATTTTGTCATTTTAATTGATTGCAGAGACATGATAGTTGTAGTTTTTTTTTCTTCTTCTTCTTTTTCATTGACCACCATTACTCAGAATTTGGAAAAACATTTTGGCAACATCAAACTGAAATTTCTACCTTCACCCTGTTTTTTTATTTTTGATTTATTCCTCCTGTGTACTGTCTGTGCCACGTCTTTTTTATTATTTCTTTACTTCTAACTTGTCTTTTATTTCTCACTCTTTTAGCTTCTAGCTCAAAAGTCTGTTTCTCACTTCTCCTCTCTTCAGCCAGACTCATAATCAGGTGTGTAGTTGTGTTTAGCTGAGTGTCCAACTAGTTGCTGTTGCTTTAAACTGACTCTGATGTTCAGGCTTCATACGGAGGAAAACTACAGAACGTCTAGCTCCAACAATGTAAATGTGCTAGTGCTCAAAGGACAGGAATGTGACCCGATGAACAGATTCCTCCTGATGACACAAGGTGGCGCTCCTCTACCTGCTGTAAACAGCAGCTGAGGCACAGGCAAGCAAACAAACTTCACTCTGCTCTTGTCTCCACACTCATCTGATCTTCTGCAACACTGGTGTGAATTTATTTGAACTGTTTTTGCTGAAGACCTGAGGCTCCTAGTCAGTACTTCCCTTAATGCACTGCAACATAAACAACTGTGACAAAATTATGTAGGAAATTATATTTTATAATAATAAAAGACTGAAGAGATTTAGATTATTTCAACAACCCATCCCAATAATCAACACTAGTCATAATCTCATAAAAATTATAAATCACATCATTTAGGCCTAATTTCAAGAACAATCTTGGGTTTTTTATTTATTATTTATTTTATTTTGGGTTTATTATTTATTATCCTGGTGTTTTAAATGAGCCGGCTGTGATTCAGTGGTAGTGCAGCCTATTTCAGACTAAATACACACAGATTTGACTAATATCCATATGCTGTGGTTTTTGTGGGGTCATCTAATCCCTAACTGCTCCCTGGGTGCTTAAATAGCTTCCTGCTGCTCCACCTGGGTCAGGGATGGGCAACCTAAATGATTGAAGGGGCCACAATTTTTTATTAACACTACCAGAGGGCCAGATAGTGCTGCACACTTAACAAATGTAATACAACTGCCATTTAAAAAATGTTTATGTGTGTATGTATATATATATATA